AACAACCACTTGAAAGGGTATGGTCTCCGATCACACCGCGAGACCTTAGGGTACATAAAGTGTCGCTGACGAAGTCCCCAGGGCCAGATGGAATTTATCCTAGAACTGTCAGGAAGATTCCAACTGGTATTATGCTACGCATAATGAACCTGATTCTTTGGTGCGGAAAGCTACCTGTACCCATCCGACAGGCTCGAACCATCTTCATTCCGAAGAAGGTACGAGCATCTCGACCACAAGACTTTCGTCCTATAACGGTACCATCTGTTATGGTCAGGATACTAAATGCCATTTTGGCTTCCCGATTGACCCTATCAGTCAATTGGGACCCGCGTCAGCGAGGGTTCCTACCAACAGACGGATGTGCCGACAATACGACGATAGTCGATCTGATTCTGAGGGACCACCATAAACGTTGTAAATCATGCTTTATCGCCACATTAGATATAAGCAAAGCATTTGACTCTGTGTCTCATGCAGCGGTTATTAATATGCTAACCGCTTACGGTGCCCCTACAGAGTTTGTCGACTACGTACAACACTCGTACGAAGTCTGTGGCACAACGCTCAATGGAGAAGGATGGAGATCAGAAGTGTTCATCCCTGCAAGAGGTGTTAAGCAGGGTGATCCGTTATCCCCCATAATATTCATCGATCGGTTGCTTAAGTCCTTCCCCAATGAGATTGGTGCCACAGTCGGAAATGCCATAACAAACGGAGCAGCATTCGCAGATGATCTAGTCCTATTTGCGGAAACTCCAATGGGGCTTCAAAAACTGCTGGACACGACTGTAGACTTTCTGTCTTCAGTCGGGCTTACCCTAAACTCGGATAAATGTTTTACAATTGGAATAAAGGGGCAACCTAAACAGAAATGTACTGTGGTCGTACCACAGTACTTTAAAATAGGTTCGCGCACGTGTCCAGCTTTGAAGCGCTCAGACGAGTGGAACTATCTAGGCATAAAGTTCACTGCAGAGGGGAGGACCAGGTACAGTCCAGCCGAAGACCTCGGTCCAAAGCTGTTGAGACTGACAAGATCCCCCCTCAAACCTCAACAGAAAATGTTCGCCCTCAGAACTGTGCTTATCCCACAACTCTATCACAAGCTTACGCTTGGAAGTGTGATGATAGGTGTCCTGAGAAAGTGTGACATACTGGTACGTTCGGTCATAAGGAAATGGTTGGGTCTTCCATTGGACGTGTCAACCGCATTCTTCCATGCTCCTCACACATGTGGGGGCCTCGGCGTGCCTTCAGTTCGTTGGGTAGCTCCCATGCTTCGGATGAAAAGATTGAGCAATATTAAGTGGGCCCATCTCGGTCAATCCGATACGGCCAACTCTTTCTTAGAAGACGAACTGAAGAAAGCTCGAGGTAGAACTCTGGCTGGAGAAAGTGAGTTGATAACACGTACAGCGATCGAAACGTACTGGGCGGACAAGTTGTACAAATCTGTTGATGGTAGCGGCCTACGTGAGGCGCGACAATTTCGTCCGCAACACGGGTGGGTGAGTCAGCCCACGCGTTTNCAAACGCAGCAGCATTTTCAGATGATCTAGTCCTATTAACGGAAACTCCAATGGGGCTTCAAAAACTGTTGGACACGACTGTTGACTTTCTGTCTTCACTCGGGCTCACCTTAAACTCGGATAAATGTTTTACAATTGGAATAAAGGGGCAACCTAAACAGAAATGTACTGTGGTCGTACCACAGTACTTTAAAATAGGTTCGCGCACGTGTCCAGCTTTGAAGCGCTCAGACGAGTGGAACTATCTAGGCATAAAGTTCACTGCAGAGGGGAGGACCAGGTACAGTCCAGCCGAAGACCTCGGTCCAAAGCTGTTGAGACTGACAAGATCCCCCCTCAAACCTCAACAGAAAATGTTCGCCCTCAGAACTGTGCTTATCCCACAACTCTATCACAAGCTTACGCTTGGAAGTGTGATGATAGGTGTCCTGAGAAAGTGTGACATACTGGTACGTTCGGTCATAAGGAAATGGTTGGGTCTTCCATTGGACGTGTCAACCGCATTCTTCCATGCTCTTCACACATGTGGGGGCCTCGGCGTGCCTTCAGTTCGTTGGGTAGCTCCCATGCTTCGGATGAAAAGATTGAGCAATATTAAGTGGGCCCATCTCGGTCAATCCGATACGGCCAACTCTTTCTTAGAAGACGAACTGAAGAAAGCTCGAGGTAGAACTCTGGCTGGAGAAAGTGAGTTGATAACACGTACAGCGATCGAAACGTACTGGGCGGACAAGTTGTACAAATCTGTTGATGGTAGCGGCCTACGTGAGGCGCGACAATTTCGTCCGCAACACGGGTGGGTGAGTCAACTTTAATTGTTGCTTGATGAATTGTTGGTCAATGCCAGTTGGGGAATTATTTCTTGGCACAACTTTATGCAGTTCGACAGTAAAAATGGCCACGTAAATCGGAGATATCATAAAACATACAAAGTTCTTAAGCACATTTCGGGGATCTGACCCCGAGACACATTTAAAACAATAGAATCGAGCGCCATTCCGGGCAAATTTCCTGTCTTTGCAGCTCCAACTTTTAATTGCAGCATTAACGCCCGAAGTGGCAACAACAAAGGATGTAAAGGGGGGAATGGTCGTCATTACTTGAAGGGCGCTAGAAAATATGTTTTTAATTGCGGAAATATTTCCATTTCAAAAATGGATGTGATAATTATTCAGAATTGCGCAAATTTCCATCACATTAAAAGTGCAGACAATGGGGATAGTAAAATGCAGCTAGCGAATAATGAAGCCGTGTTCAAGTGCGGAAATGCTGAAAATTATTTCAATGAAACAGAGCTAAGTGGTTTTTAAGTGCCCCAACGGTGGCAGGAGAGCTCGAATACGGACACGGACACGGACAGGGACACGGACACGGACACCACTCCAACCGGCTAGCTTTATAAAATGCAAATGGAAAGCGACAAATGCGTGGCATCCTGCACAAACAGAAGTGTTCAGATTATAAACTTACACCGTGCATTGCATATTATAAGTATTAGAATATTAAATATTTACTAGGCAAGCTTTGTGGCCATTTGTCATGGGGAAATGCAGCTGGCCCTTGAAGGCTGCAAAATTATTTAATTGTCAGCTAATAACGCGAGTCTTTGATGTCGCTAATTGCGCGAATTGCGCGAATCAGAAGGTGAAGGTGCTATAAAAGCTGCACCAAACTATTCCTGAACCACATTCAGGGCGAGTCAAATTGCGAAATGGCACCTAGGGAGAGCCAGATCCCGACGGGGAGTGACTACTTTCGAGACCAGTGGCGAGCCTGGCGCATTCTTGGCGCGCTGCAGCTCAATGCCCGGAAGTACTGGAGTGGAGCCACGGCTCTCAACATCTTCGTGGCCCTGTTCTCGCCTTCGCTTCTCCTTTCGATGTTTAGCTTCGATACGCCACTGGAGAATATCACCAACTTCAGTCTGTCGATAACCTCGACGGCCACTGTACTGAAGCTCGGCCTGTACGTGGTGCATCTGGGAAGGCTCAGAGAAATGGAGAAGATTATCGCCAGGCTGGATGATCGTGTAAAGGGAGCAGCACAGCAGCGATGTCATCGCCTGATGGCCAAAAAGCTGCGCAAATTGTCAAACGTTTTCCTGTACACTTACGGCTTTGTGCTCCTGAACTCGGAATTTTCATTTCTATTCACGCGCGAGCGGAGCTTGCCATTTCCCGCGTGGTTCCCCTTCGACTGGAAGAACTCCACGACCAACTACATCGGAGCCCTGTGCTTTCAGTTCGTCGCAATATTATTTCAGATTCTGCAGAACTTTGCAGACGACTCTTTTCCGCCGGTGGCCCTGTGCCTATGCGCGGAGCACTGTCAGCTGCTGAGTCTGCGCATCTCCAGTATAGGCCACGAGTCCAACGAGCAGGAAGCCAATGACGCAGAGCTCGTCCTATGCATCAAGGACCAGAAGGATCTCTACGGGTGAGCACCTCATCCGGCCATCTGTGGATACCCGTAGATAACTTTCGTTTCAGATTGCTTCAGCTCACAAGCGCTCTCATCTCGTGGCCCATGACGATTCAGTTCTTTGTCATGGCCCTCAATGTTGGAGCAACCATGTTCGGTCTGGTCTTCTTTGCTGAGTCCATTCACGACCGAATGTACTTCGCCTCATACCTGTTGGCGCTCGTTATGCAGACATATCCCATCTGCTTCTACGGCAGCCTCTTGGAAGAACGCTTCGGGCAACTCCACTATGCAGTCTTCTGCAGCAATTGGGTGAACCAGAACCGCCGATACCGCACCAACATGTTGATACTCGCGGAGCGCACCAAGAGTAATCCCCGCCTGCTGGCGGGCAACCTGGTGCCCATACACCTGAGCACCTTTCAAGCGAGCTGCAAGGCGGCCTACTCTTTCTTCACCTTGATCGGCAACACACGCGACAGGGCCAAGTCGAACTAGGTTACCTGGCTACATAACTCACAATTTAGTTGTTCAATAAATACACAATTCACCTTGCACCTAAATCAATTGTGTTACAAATTTGCCGTTGGCATGGCCATGGAAACAATTTTGGGCATCAGGGGACCGGACTTCGTGATGCTTGCCTCTGACACAATGCAGGCCAAGTCCCTGATCTTCATGAAAGATGGTGAGCTAATGTCTGGTGAGCTCGCTCATTTCCTGATGATTATCCTCTTGCTCCTTGCAGACCAATCGAAAATACACAGACTCTCGGACTTCTCCATGATAGCCACAGTGGGCGATGGTGGCGACACCCTGCAGTTTACGGATTATATATCGAAGAACCTGCACCTGTACAAGATCGCCAACGGGTACCACTTGAGTCCACGTGCAGCAGCTCACTTCACCCGCAAGAATCTGGCCGACTATATACGCAGCAATACCCGCTACCAGGTGGCAATGTTGCTGGCAGGCTACGACGTCGTCGAGGGACCCGACCTGCATTACATCGACTCCTTCGGAGCTGCTCAGTCCATTAACCACGCCGGCCACGGATGGGGCAGCGTTTTCTGTGGCAGCATCCTGCAAAGGTACTGGCACCAGAACCTGACCCAAGCGGAGGCTGTTTCCATCCTGAAGAAGTGTGTGGCCGAGATCCAGAAGCGTTTAATCATCAACCAGCGCAATTGGGACGTGTTCGTGGTGGACCGTAGTGGAATGCGTCAGCTGGAGAGCATCAATCCGGCCTCACTGAGCTTTGACGTTCTCAGCTTGAACTGGTAGAGCGGAATCACTGGGACCCGTCCTCAGTTTCTGAAAGCCTAATAATTGTGCACTTTATTTTGGTAAACTTTTGTTTTAATGCTCCAACAATTTCCCAGGGATTAGTCGACGTTGCCAGCTCGGATTAGAGTGGGTAAGCCTCTCGAGGGTGGGGATTTGCCCGGTGCGAGGAGTACATGGCACGGCTGACTGCGTCCATGTATTAGCATATGTGGCCTCCTCTTGTTCGCCACACACACAGCCGTACCTTCACTCGTACATGCCGTCTGTGTGGACGATTGTGAGTGGGTTTGTTTGTTCAACAATGACACATACTCGTGCAGAAATGGACTGGTGACTGCTACATGAAACGCCAACTGTTGCGAATCGGAAGCAGAAAAGCCAACATGTCTCTATTTCCCATTTGAACAGCATTCAGTCAGCCAGACAGACAGACAGTCTGTCATGGGGGTGGAGTCAGCAAAACTCATAAAAATGAGCACAGATTGCTGCAAAAATGCACTCACATTGTCCTGTGTTTCGCTGAGGTTGAGTCGCGAGGGTTTGCCGCGCTGGCCTGGATGGTGCTGGAGTCAGTTCTGTGTGTTGAGGTTTTCATTGCTAATTGGCTGCACATGACGGAGTATCACCAATTGAGTTGGTGCTCTGGCAGTCATCGGAACCGTGCAGTGCCAAGCGGACACCATTGCAGAAAGATTTCCAATGCGATTCCTGCCAAAAAAAAAATGAATGGATTGTGTCCATGCGTGGAACCAAAGCCTTTCAGCCATTTCGCCACCATTGAGTTGAGGTAAAACTGCATTTGCCAAAGTGTATAAAATGAGCTTCAGTATTTCATTCATTTGACATCATAAATTAGACTCCGCACGTAGTGTGAGTGTCTTTAGAAACTGTTTATACAGAGCTTCTGCAGCAGTCTCGTGGCATATAGAGCTGATTGAAGCATATATTTAATAGTTTTCTAGGAACAAATTAAACGTTTCTTCGATACATCGCGTCTCTAGGCGTCAGTGGCATCCGCTTCAGTATTGTGCAAAAGTTTTTTGGAGCTGCGCAACAACTTTTGACATGTGAGCGTCTCAAATGAGCGCTGCTGTCTCACGCCACCTTTGCCCCAGACCTGTCGCGCCATGAAATATATGCACGTGTGGAGAAAAACTTAGTCGGGGGCAAGCAGATAATGTGCATGTAAGCTCCCGTGTAACCAGACTCCGACTTCTGCCACCCCAACCGCGAGCCAGCCAGCAATTTGTGACGTTTAGGGGCGCAACGAGGCAGCGACTTCTTGACAGGACATTAACTTCCTTGCCGAGCGGAGCAGCTTCTTCGACTGTCTGGCTGCTTGCGGATGAGTGTGTGACGACTCTGATGATGATTCATGATGATGATCCTTGCAGTTTTCTTCTCCCTGTTGTTTCCGTTGCCATTTTCGTAGTCATTTTTCATTGGCAGAGTCCGGGCTGAGATGGGAGCTGTAGGAGGGGGCCCCTTTTTCGACAGCCTATTAGTTTTTATTATTTGTTGCAATTAGTTTCTCGGCCTCTGCCGGATACGGGCCCAGCGGCCTCTGTCCGTCTTTTATGACACTTTTGTGCACATTTTTCACCGGAATGAGCGTCATCTGTTGCCGCTGGCTGCCACGGCTGCGTTTTTCTCGCTGGCATTGACAACAGCCAAACAATGGCAGGCTGCTCGTACTATCTATGATAAATGATGGCCAAAAGTCAAAGTCATCAATCAGAGGGCCATGTTTTATGTGCCGCTCGCGGCCATTTGCCATTTGCCATTTGCCATTTGTTTCAAGCCCCATTCCACGCCCATCCAGTGGCATATGCAGAAGGATCTGGGCTCCAAGACAGATGGCAGCCAGAAGGATAAAATATAAATCGCAAGTGCGTAGACAGCCCAGGTGTCGGTGGCCGGGCGACAAGCATTTCGATTTAATTTTCATTAAAATTCAGCCATTAAATATGCAAAGGGTAAACTGCGGCCAAAGCCCATTAAAATTCCTTGAAGGCTGAGAGAGCCCTAACACCCGGATCCCTCCAGGTGACTCCTTTTCATTTTCGAGTGCTTATTAAAATTGCAAAGGTCCAGGATTTGCGGACATTATGATGCGGTGGATGCGAATTTATGCGGCTCGTAGCTGAAGCTGTCGTTGCCCAGACCCAGACCCGGACCCAGACCCGGACCCAAGCCCAGACCCAGACCCTGGCCTGCTGTTGCCAGCTGTGTCCTACTCGTAGCCGTTTTTTACTCCTGCTCGCTGTTTAATTATGCATTTTTATCTGGAAGTCGCTCGGACTGGGGCCAGGCCAAAGGCAGAATCATTTCGGGCATCCTTTCCCAGGGCGACAACACAGCCACTTTGCCACACGAGCTATGAAAACTGCAAATCTATGGCATCAGCAGCCTCGCAACACTGAGAGAAAACTAGCTACAAATAAAACATTGCATTTACAATTAGTTACAAGGGGCATCTACAGGCACACATGGCAACGGGATAGAAGACAGAATTTGATTAAAGTCAAAGGTTTTTGCACCACAGTTTTCCGCCATTGAAAGTCCCCCAAGGCATCGCCCGAGCATCGATTACGGCTGCCTCGCATTGATGTCACCAGCAGCAACCGATTGGAAGCCAACAATTGACAACTAAAGTTGCAATTAGGAGCAAGAGAAATCCTTTTTGCCCTTCTCCAACACTCCGTTCCACCCGTTCCGCCACTGGAACCACAGGAATTCAAAATGAAAGGAAACTTTTACGACAGACACACGCACCCGTGCTGCGTTCGTTCCGGCATGTCCCCGGTGAAGGTGCGCTCAGCTCAGGATTTTAGTTATGCAGGGGAAAATGCCTTGGGGAAATTAGTGGAAAACGAAAAATGTTGTACGCAAACATTCGTTTCAACCGTATTTTGTTTGGGGGGGGGCTGCTGGTTTATGGGACCCAGTTACATCGTTTAATAAACCTTACGGAATGGTGTTTATTTTTTTTCCGTTTGGTAAATATCTTAAATGCTGAAATTTGTATTTTAAGCCCTTGTTATCGGCAACGAGACAGAATCCATCGGGTAAGCTCACTGCCAAAATTGCATTTTATACCAAACACCCATCAATAAACGGCCTATAAATTAACCCACTGGCAGGCGATCGCGTCAATATTCTCCTCTGTTGCAATCGATTTTAATTCGTTGCATTCGATGGACATAAATCACGACACATGAGGGCTGCCTCTGGTCTGTGCAATCGATTGCCAGCGTTGAGCACCATCGACGGCATAATTTATGAGGATGCGCGGATTCCAGACCGCCATGGATCCGGATACACATGTGACATCAACAGGGACCTTCGTGACATTAATGCTGTCCTTCAGGCCTGAGCTTTCCGATGCCAAAGCCATTCACTGTGCCCGTCCCTGTGCCTGTTCCTGTGCCTGTGCCTGAGAGTACGCTTTAACATTGTTCAACTCTGACCATCTAAACTAGACATAGATGGAACACGGAAATATCTGTGAAGTTTATTTCTACTTAGAAATTTACACATTTATTCCAATTCATAATTTCTGTTGGGGTTGTGCAGTGCACAAATGTTTTCCTACCTCCAGCCGGGTTAAACTCTCAGCATATTTTATTCCAACAGTTTCATTCGTCTATTGTGCTGTAAAAAAGTTCATACATGTGTATATAATGCACTTCTTTCCATCCTCCACTGTATGTGCCATCATACATGATGATAATCCCTCAGACCAGCACTTCACATACTTTTCCCCATGTGCTTCTAAACTGCATGTGAAGCTTGGAAAAAAAATACATACAGCGTATAGGATGGAGAGGGAAAGGGAAAGGGAACGGGGAACGGGGGAAAATCCATAAAAAGTTGCAGTTAAACTTTTCAACATTTGTCAGAGTCAGAGGATTTGTTTGCCTTTGGGGCTGGCCAAAGCCAACATTCTGCCGGCTCTGGGATTGCTCACGCTCCCCATCTAGATCGAAAGAAACTCCCTCCCATGTCCGAACTCCTCACAGCCACCCCCTCAATTGGTCCGTCCGTCTGATTGTTTGCTTATTTTGCTCGTACGTCCCACTATTTGTTTTCTTTCCAATTTTGTAATTCAAACTTTTTCTATTGATTTCTTGGCACGCATGAACACCTTCAGCAACAACGGCGACAGCTCCGCACGGCGACAGCGGGAGTGGTAGAGTTGCCAAGTTCCCTTGAGCGGGGTGGGCCCGGGAGTTTCGGAAGGTGGGAGGGCATTCAATTTAAGTTGTGGCCCAGCGCTGTCCGGGGCCTCCCCATGGTGACCATGCGTGGAGGAAGTGCATGGAAGAAATAAAGTTCATAAAAAAACAAAAGAAGTGGGCGAAACTTTCCAATGCACTTAACACTCTGTTACACAGGAGGAAGAAAGGAAAAAGGAATGAAGGAAAACCTGTCAGTGGCATTGGCAACACATTTATTAATGTGTCAATCGGATTGAAGACCTCCGCCAGACCAGCCAGAACAAAACGATAAAGTTACACCCTGCTGCCGGGGCCTGTTCAGGGTTAAACGTGCCCTATCTGCCCCCGTGCGAGTGTTAATCAATTTTCTAAAAAAGAGAAAACACTTCCAGCCACAAAATGATTACATGACCCATCCCCCAATCGCAGCCCCCAACCTATTCACGGCCGCCGCAAAGGAATTGTAATTATTCGAATTGTTACTCGTCGCTTGCCTAATGACTATTAGCTAAATGAAAACATTGCGTGCCAGCGACATTTTATTTGAGTGGAGAGGACATGCACCAGGGCAGAGCCCACGCCACAAGGGGGGCAGGCCAGTGCTTTATTTGCTATATTTCATGCCTGCCTGCACTTATCTCCGATTGTTCATCGGCCGGGGCAGCCGCGGGCTACCCTGCTGGACTCGCCGAATGTAATTTGGCTTGGGGGAGGGTGAGCTTCGATTGCTCTTTATGTTCTAATTACTTGCCCCCTCACAAAAACGCCACTCAAATTTGAATTAAAATAAGTGGGACTGGACACAGTTGGCGCCACAACTTTTAATTACAGCCACACAAAATTGCAGATGCAGCGCGGCACTCACAACCTCAAACCCATATAAACCCTGCCAGAGCTGAGAGCTGGGAGCTGGGAGCTGAGAGCCCAAACCCCAAATGGGCATGGACATGGCATTTGGAAATCCAAATCCAAAAAGCATATTAATTGCGGACTGCGTAGGCGTCTACTGAAATAGTATATAATCGATTTAAGCATGGGCTTTATGTGGACAAGGGTCTAAATTGCAATTTCATGTATGACAAATGGGTTTCGGGTGTGGGTCTGAAAAGCAGTCAACTGTTGGGGCAAGGAAACAATATTCGCACTTTAAATTGAGTTTATTGAATGGGTATTTTTGCACAGTGCGTTGCAGTCCGAACAAAAGGAAGCTCAATCGATATTTTCCCATTCATCTGTGTCTTGGCTGAGCTCGGCAACTGGGGGTTGCTTCCAATTAGAAGCTGTTGCATGTAGCAATTGATCATCAAAATCAGTCTATGCGAGACAGACCCCATCCAACTGCATACCCGTGTACTCGTATTCGTACATAAACCACCCAGGGCTCGTTATTGTTGCCACTGGCTACCCCGTCAATTGCAGCTGGTGGTGGCTGCACCACAAAATTCAACGCAATTTGTAAAATGAAATCGATTCAATTGATTGTTGACTCCGACAAACACACAGCTCCCTCCCACAGCTATTGTGCAACGTCGAGAGAGAAGACCATCCTCGTCCTGAAGCTGGCGCTGAAACTGGCGCTACGAGCACGAGTTCGAGTGTACGTAATGCCAGGCGACGACGGTGACAGGTGTCTGAGGGAGGACGTGTTCATATCGCTGTCGTGCCATCCCGGCCTGCTATGTGTGTACATACACACACATGTTTGTGTTTCTGTGTGCACTGCACTTTGCTTGATTAAATTTCAATATTTACTAAAATGTCGCCGAACTCTTTCTGACAGCTCTGTAAATTTCATAACCGGAATCGACATAAAATATGGTCAACTGTGTGTAAATATAAGCTTGACAAGCTCATAAGTTGACTGAAACGGCTTTCGATGGTGCCTCGTTATCCCGCTCCTTTGTTACTGATCATTTGTTGCAGTTTGTCATTACAGAAAACGAAAAAGCACCTAGATTGTGTGGCAAACGGGTACTTGGCAAGCATCTCAAATGTGAAAACCAATTACTCAAGTCGTGATTTAGGAGATGCTTTTCACGTCAAAATGTTCAATTCACATTAAGTAATACGTCGGAATAGTTAAAAACAATCAAATAAAATTACAAGCAAGAAAAAGCAGATGGATACAAGTGAAATTCAGAAGATCGTCGTGGATGAGCGGTAAGTTCCACAGTTTACGATATTTCTTTGCATTCCCACGCCAAGCTTTTCAGAGATAGGGTTGAGAAAGGTTCATCCGAAGAGTGTTTATTTGATATGATGGAAGACAAGAGGAAGTGAGTTATGCAAGGCTTTTCTTTCCTTTATATTTCTACTCTTATTTCTCCAGCGACGATCGACAAGAAGAGCCCAAGACTGTTGACACAAATGACAAGGGAGCTAAAGACGATGAGTCCGTAGCCAATATTCAGAATCTTTTGCAAGCAATGGATCTGCGCATTGACCATTCAACAGATGAAACTGACACAAGTGAGTCGGAAAGCGATAAAGTCGTAAAGCAAGAGGTGTCGAACCTCTTCTCTGGCCAGCTTCCCATTTCTATGTGGGATTCCAGTTCGGAAGAGAACGAACCCGAAGTACCCGATGTCGATATTAATTACGATAACATCTTCGAGGACGTGAGTAAGCTGACGGCTGTGGAGAAGCACCTCCAGCTGCTATACAGACCATTCAGCTGTGAACTTGAAATGATCTCTCGATTCAAAATCTACGAGCTGTGCATCCTGATCACTGGCTCCCGCTGCGACACGGACTGCTATCCCTCGGTCACGGTTAAGACCGTCAATCCCATTGGCTTGGTCAAGATATATGCGGGCGGCAAGGCGGTGTCCACCGCCCTAACCGCCGAGTCGGCTTACATCTCCTTGTTCAAGGTGGTTCGGATGGTTGAGGAGCTGGACTTCAAGTTGGACGCGAAGAATCTCAGTCGGAACATTGTCAACGCCTCCTTTTGCATGCCCTTCGAGCTCGACCTGTACCTTCTGTGCGAGCAGCATCGCACGAAGGTGACCCGCAACTGCCGCACTCGTCCCTTTATCACTTACAACAATGAGGGGGAAAACGTAGTTTTTGCCGTCTTTCCCACCGGATTCGTTCTGGTCTTGCACTCGACCAAGCCCTCTGAAACCCGAGCCGCCATTGCTGCCTTCCTTCCGATCCTGGCCCAGTACAAGGACGGATATGCCACCCAGTCCAAGAAGATGGGTCGGCTATGCGGCGACATTTCCTATAAGCTGCTCTGGGAGCACAGACTCGAGGAGGACAAGGAAGGCCAGCTGCTCTACTCCTAGGACATTTTACCAGTTTCCTGCTCCCCGATCGTGGACGGGGTCTAGTTTGTTATGTTTCATTTCAGTTTTGTTCCTTGAAATACCGTGAACATTTATCATAAACCAAAGTTCGCTACGTGCACTGTTTGCACTTTCGAGTTGTGAAACTTGTTTAAATATGTGATTTGTTTTCCAGCCAACTGCTCCAGCTACAGATGCTGTGCGACCACCGAGCAGCCAGCGACACTGTGCAGCTGGCACCCGCTAGAAATACAGGGCTAGGCCCGGTCCAGGCCCAGAGTCGCCTCAGACATCATCCGGCCAAAGTTGTCCCAAACACACAACAAAACAACAAACAAATTGCTGGAGCAGTTGCAGCTGGTAGGCAACTGGCAGGCAACTGGGAACCCAACTGCAACAGGCGCATACATAAATAACGAAACATTTTCGCACACTTGCCGCAACTTTCTAGGCAGGATGTCACATTATGCGGCACAAGTTGTCTCTTCCCTCAAATACGTTTCCGACGTGCCACAAGCACCTACCCGAATACTCTCAGCCTGGACGCTGAACTTTGGGCCAACAATTCGTATTTAAAAATCTGCCATGCCTAATTACTTGAGTTGCATTTTTGAAGACGGTACTCAAGGATTTCATTTGAATATTTTATGAATGATGGTTTTAAAATAACTCATGCAGCTTTTGAGCTTTGAATTCAACAACCTAAAGTTTGAGGCAAGTGGAGTGAACTAAATGGCGATTTAGTTATTCAAAAGGTACACCAAGATATGTGAAATGAATCTCTCTTGGGTAACAGTTGAGATTGAGTTGAGTTGTAGGTTGGGTGAGCTTTTGCGGTTGTAAAGAAAAAATGATCAAAGGAAGCTGAGGAAACAAGGGAATTGAAACATATTTTGAATTAGTTGAATAGAGAAGCAGCAAACAAATCCATCGAACTACTTTCGAGTAGTTGGAGGAGGATTATGCACTCATTAAAAAAGTGCTCGCCTATAGCTTCCTTGGCCATCAACTATGCATTAGAAATGTGCAAAAAACTTCACCCTTTTTTCACATTGAGCTGTTAAACTTAGTTGCCCCAGAGCAAAGACTGGCTGGCCAAAAGTGCGCTGGTGAAAAAACATCAGAGAAAGGAGAGGCCTTGCGATATGAAGCAGAAATCGATGGCCATGAGCTGATGTAGTGGCAATCGAGCCTGGGAATCCGGGGAATCAGATTACAAAGTTTAACCATCAAAGTTGAAGAAAGAACATGAAAATATGTAGGGAGGGCAGCGCGGTTTTGCCGTTTTATGAATTATGCATTTTTGCCCAAGGAATTTTTGCTTCAAAGCCCCAAATTATCCAAAAAAAAAAAAAGGATTGCGGCTGCCTTTGAAGATTAAGCAACTGTGGGTCTGGTGTGCAACTGCTTTCGCATTTATAAGTGCGCATCAACTGCATAAATGTGAGAGATAACCTTATTGAATACGAAATTTAGTGCGGAAACCCAACCGCATACTAGGACAACCCTTCGAAATAGTGATGGAGAAAGTGTGCAGAGAATAAGGTGTATCGAATGGATCAGTGCGATGACTAGGCCAAGAGGTAAGCTGGTTTGTTAAATGTATCACATCGGTCTGCCACAGCTGAAAGGACATTTAGAATGCAGAAACAGCTCTTTAATCATGCTTGACATGATTGTCCCCTGTTCCATTCTGTGGAAAATTGGCAATTAGACCTATGGACAGAGCAATTAGAAACGAGCACGAAAATGAGAATGATTATTGGATATTCTCTTGGACACATGAGAGCAGTGTAAGGAATTGGCCTCGTCCTCTGTCAGTAGTCGCATAAGGTCCATTCCATTGGATTGAGGGCAAATACATAAATCTGAAATTCAAATCGACAATAAATTTTCATTTTGGTAAACCCTCGTAAGCTTTTCATGGCTAAAACAAACTTCTGTGATTTATGAAGTTCTCGGCCACTTTCCTGCTCCTCGGGCAATAAAACATACAAGCCCATCAGAGCCATCTATGAACACGATACAGAACTTTTCCTCATTTCCCGCCCCCATTTCCCATCCCTTTTGCGCTCACAAGTTGTCACATTTTAAAGACTCCATTCGCACAGAAAAAATAAACATCTATAATACTCAGTGAATATTATTCACTAATTTTTATGAGGCGAAAGAGTGCTTTCTTCTGCGCATAAACTTAAGTGTCAAAACAAATTTCGTTTTAGTGTTACATAAAAGAGATGTCGGGAAAGGGCACCATCAGAAATGATTTCAATAAAAACCGTTCATCTGTTAATACAATTTTTCATAAAAATCATCGATTTCAATTACAATATCATTTGAGTCATTTGCCATTTGGCCACAGCTTGCCCTGATGTAAATCCATAAACAGAATGAGACATGCTCGTCCCCCAAATATTGCTGATTTTCGCATGTGGCATAAGTGGATATTGGGCAGCACCATGGAGAAACATGTCATCAAGCCTGACATCTGCGTCAGCTGGCGATCAAAGTCAAATTAAATTGAAACAACTTTGTGACATCACGTCGCATCGGTCCCCTCCTTTGGCCATCTCAAATATGTACTCGTATTGGCCCTGAGAGTAGTTCTAAACAAAGAGAATTGCTTTTGCCAAGTTATTTGCGAGACTTGGTAAACGTGACCAATATGTTGCAATAATTGATGGCGATATTATTTTAGGGATTAGAGTGCGCAGCTAACCAATATTAAAGTGGCCAAAAGGCAACACATTATCTGAGATTACCTCTAAATATATTCACAGACGCATAGACGCATCTAATTCGAATTTACATTAATCGATTGACTTGGGAGTCCATTAATTTATTAATTAGCTAATTAGCGCTCTTTGTGGTCTGGCTCCCAATACTGATACAGCGAGAATATGTTTAATATGTGACTGAAATGAGCGTTCGACCTTTGCTAGGCTACACAGAGCAGCTTTCCATCAACTACAACAAATTAAATACCAAATAAAAAGCAGAGTCATTTAATAATTATAATTATAAATGGATTGTAGTTGCAGCTGATGAATAGCTCACTCGAGTGCCGCACAGTTAAGACCAAACACTTCTAGTTCTGAGTCCAGTATGAAATCATTGGAGTGCCTCACGCGACGAGTTCTGGCCGGAGTTTTCTGGCTAATGGGTCTGGTGCCGCTGCCGCCCAGTTCCCAGCTCTTCTCCCTGTTTCTATCCGTGGCGATTCGCTGCTGTTGGATTGTGTACCTCGGATACCTACTGTCAATTGGAATCGGCTTTCAATCGCTGGCAACGGAAAGTGTGGGCAATATCGTGGGCACCATGCTCTTCATGGGCAACTCCATTTTGGGCCTGCTGCTTCTCCTGGAGAGTGTGTTGAAGCAGAAGACCCGCGGACAGCTGGAGGACCTGCGCTTCCAGTCGCAGCTTCAGTTGCAACGCCTGGGGATGTTCGGAAGAGGTCGCCAGGCCCCGCACCTGCTGCCCCTGATGGCGACACAGTTTACCTGCGATCTTGCAAGAGTCCTGGTCAGCGCCAAGGTCGGGACAAAGATATCCCCAGTGTTCTTCATATCCCTGCCGCTCATGTGGCTGCTCCGCTTCCGTTACGTTCAGCTGGTACAGCATGTAATGGATCTCAATCAACGCTCGCTCCAGCTGCGTCGTTCACTTCTCGCACTGGCCGCGGGCAACGAACTCTGGCAGCCGTACGGGATCCAAGAATGGGGCCAGCTACAAACCCTTCGCAAGACCTACGAACGCATCTTTGAGTGCTACAAAGTGTTCAGCGACTGCTATGGCTGGGGCATGCTCGGACTACACCTGGTGACCAGCTTCCAGTTTGTGACCAACGCTTACTGGATGCTCATGGGACTGTACGCGGAACAGAACCTATTGATCCTCACCTACGACGGAGCCACCGCCATTGACTTTGGCACCCCCATTGCCGCACTCTTCTGGTACGGCGATGCGGGTGCTGAAAATGTAAGTCTCTAAGTACTCGTAGTCTTTACTAATTAACAATGACAATGATGGATTTGTACTCCATCTGGGTGCCCGTCTGAGTGTCTTTATGCCCCTTTGAGTTCGCATTAGTCATAATGTTTCCCCTGAGCAGGAAGCAAGCTTTCTCGCGAGTGTTCCTCAGATGTTTCCACTTGACGTTATCCGCACTTGGCCTCATCTCTGGGCGTCGCAATCGGCCTGCTCAGTGGCTTCTGTTCGGCTGCTGGCTGTGCTGGTACACAACGATTTGGGCACTTACGCTGCATAGAGCTACCCGATTCCAGGACTGCGATCTTGACTGTATGCTGCGATATTTCCTGCTCGTTTGTGAAACCGGGTCTCATGCTCTCATTGTGACGAATACATTCCTGCAGAAGCGCAGTCTGCAGCTGGCTGACGTTGGCATTCTTGAGGGTCCAGATCCTTCGGTGGCAGTCACCGTAATGGGACTCCTGCTGCCGATCATTGCAGTTCATTACTTGGTATGCTCAAATCTGGATACGTTTTCGTCCAGAGTCGTATCGTTTTATTGGAAGACACAGCCCAGCTTGCTGGCACTACAGTTTCAGATCATAGCGTTCATCTCACAGGTTATGAATGTGAATCTTCGCGTTCGTCTTGCCCGTCGCCAATTGCAGGTGCTGGCCAGAGGGCTAGCTTGCAGCTGGCCGCAGAGTAAGCTTCAGGCAATGTATAAGGAGCAACAGACAGCTGCGGTAATAGACCTAAAGCGACGCTATAACGAACTCCATCATTTGTTCTATCGGCTCAACGAGAGTTATGGTGGCAGTCTGCTGATCATCTTCATTGTTTTCTTTGCGGGGTTTGTGTGCAACGCCTATTGGCTGTTTGTCGATTTGAGGACCACTCCCCCTAGGCTATATCCCGTCTTACGGAACTTGGGCTTCATCTTCAATGTGGCTCTTCAGATATCGGCAGCCTGTTGGCACTGCCAGCAGAGCAATAACCTTGTGAGAATAAGATAATAACCTCCAGGTTCCTTCTTCTATTTACTGCCCAAACATCATCATTACAGGGTCGCGAGATTGGTTGTCTCATCTCA